AAAAAAGTCAGATTTTTCCCTAAGAATTGTGAGAAATTGAAATAAATAATTTTCATGTTTCCCCTCAATAACTACGGAAGAGGATTAGTGCCATGGTGCAATTTTTTTTCCCTTAATTCTGAGAAAAAAGTCTGAATTCAAATTTTAATCTCAAAATTTTGACTTTTTCTGATTTACAACAATTTCCTGTGGGATCAATAAAGTTCTATCTCATCTTTTCTGAAATTCTCACTGTAATCTCAAAATTCTCATTTTTTTTCTCAGAATTCTAGTTTTTTTTTCTTCTTCTCAGAGTTAAGGGAAAAAAATTGCACTGTGGCCCTAATTCTCTTCTGTAATATTCTAACTTTAATCTCAGAATTCTTTGAAAAAAAAAGGTCAGTAAGCCTCTTTTTATCAGAATATTGAAACTAAAGTCAGAAGTTCAATTTTTATCTCAAAATTCTAGCATTTTTTCTCAGAATTCTTGAAAAAAAAAAAGAGTCAGAATTGAATTAAAAATATATTTTTAGCCCTGATCCTCTTTCAAAAGGTCCTTTCTTTAAAGATAAATTAAGTAATCCAGCACATTTTACACTCCATATTCAAAGTTTAGAGACAGTTCTTGCCCTTCCTTCTGTCCTCTTCTATAACCGAGCTCTGGGACTAAAACTTGTATCTTCACTGTTCTTCTCTTTTCTGACTCAGATATCTGCTCTGCGATGAAGATTCTGAAGATGACATCAAGTGGACTTGTGATGATGAAGGCTCGCTCTGCTGAGGGTGGGGTTCAAGGCTGCACCTCTACAGCTGTGGTTCTGCTTCTAAGGCCCAGTCGTGTTGGTTTGCAGTGGACGTCAGAGCGGACCTGCTGCGGAGGAGCAGATGGTACGTCGTACAAATTCTCTCATTATGGCTTGAAGCTGCCTTTGTTTAAAATAAAGGAAAGTTCCCAGAGTTTTCAGAAACCCTTCAGAGAGACCTTCATGCTTTCAGAGCTCTGACACTGTGAAGGCTGGACATTTCAAAATAAAAGCAAAGAAAGTAAGAAAATGAACTGTGTTGTTGTTGTTGTTGTGTGAATGTAGTCAGCACCAACACCACTGCTTTACTGCTTTTTATTTTTATGCAGTCTAAGTCTGTTTGAGCTTTTTTAGCCGTTCAGATTTCAAAACATTCGTCTCATTCTGGTTATGACGTTTGAAATTTTGAAACTTTAGTACATTTTCCTCATAAAAATACACTGAGATTTGTTCTGCTTTGTTTTGGCACATTTGCATAAATCTCATCGTAAATCTTGTCTACCGGTAATTTCTTCGACAGTTGCTTCACCAGAGATGCTCTTCTTTTAGCTTTTAGCTGCTGCTTTTCTACTTTTAGCTTCTAGCTAGTTTTTGACAATTTTAACTATTAGCTATTGACTTTGGCTTTAACTAACCTTTTGCCGTTTTAAGCATTTAGCTAATCTTTAGACATTTTTAACCTACTTGCTAGCCTTTTGCTACTTTTAGCTAAAACTTTAGATGCTTTTATATTTTGTCTAGTCTTTAATTACTTTTTGTTACTAACTTAAGGTGACCAGATTTCTGATATTAAATCTGGGGACATTTCCAGCTCAGAGACAAAAAAATTAAATGTTATCAAGATGACGTTAAGAAACTGGGACAGTTCCGGTTTCATTTATTTTTACATATTTATTCATGTTTAGACAATAAAAATCAAATGTAGCAGCAGGAATGTATCTCTCCACTGTTGTTAACATTTCCTAAGAGTAATAACACAAATAAAGTAATAGTAGTAGTAAAACGGAGAGTGTGTGTGTGTGTGTGTGTGTGTGTACAGTACACTAATGTAAGCGAGCGTGCGTGTGTGCGTGAATGTGAACATGGTGCTTGAAAGTTTATGAAGTCTTTATAGTTTTCTATATTTCTGCATCAATATGACTTAAAACATCCTCAGATTTTCACACCAGTCCTAAAAGTAGATAAATAAAATCCAGCTAAACAAATTAGGCAAAACATTATACTTGGTCATTTATTTCTTGAAGAAAATGATCCAATATTACATATTATATATACTTTTTTTTTCTTATTTTATATTTAATATTACATATTTGTGAGTGGTAAAAGTATGTGAACCCCTAGGATTATCTGTTAATTTGAAGGTGAAATGTTTTCAATCAATGATGATTAGGTGTGAATGGGAGCAGAAAAGGTTATGTTCACATAATAGAAAAGTTTTTTCTTCTTCTTCTTTCGGCTGCTCCCTTCTTCAGGGGTCGCCACAGTGAACTAACTCGCACGGAAACTTGGCGATTGTTTTATACAGGATGTCCTTCCTGACCCAACCACAGACCACCGAGCTACCACAGCCCTCTGTGTGGAGCAGAGAGCTGCCATCTAGGGCACCCGGGGGAGCAGATGGTGGAGGTTAAGGGCCTTCCTTGCTCAAAGGTCCAGAGTGGGGCAAATGATGGTGGATGCAGGTGTGGGTGTTTCACCTTTCCCACATTTTGATGTCAGTCCGTGGAGATGAACCGACAACCTTCCGACCACAGGCCCACCTTTTCTAACCTCTGCACCACTATAAAGTAAAATACTTAAAACATAAGAAATAAGACACAATTTAATAAAATGCTTCCTATTCTTTTTATTTACTTTTCCACTTATTTCATCTTGTCACTCAAAAAACTGCCTCTAATTATTTAACTAGTTTCCTCCGCTGATTAAATACTAAAAATCCTATATTTAGTAGCAAAAAACTATAATTATTTGGAGCTCCAAGCTCATAGAACAGAAGAAATGCACATTTAAGCAGATGATGATTTCTTTCTCCATCATTTTCAGTTCAGTTCTTGCTTCATTGAGTTTCCGTCACTCAGGAACTTTCACAAACACACCTCAGCCCTATTTTTAATTTTTTATTATTTTGTATTTTTACCTGGACACTGCTGAAAACTCTAGAAACATTTAGTACTGCAAACTAAATGTCTATCACGGCTAGGATCAGCCCAGTTCAAACAAAATAAATGGGTGCACACATATATCACAGGAGAGCTGGTGATGGCAAGCTTGCACTTTCTCTTCTTCTTCTGTTTTAAAGGCGGCGCGCTCGGCTCTTCTTCTTCTTCTCTGTCTGTAATGTTAACAGCTACAGTAGCTGTTGTTGTGTTCAACATATTCATGCTTTCTACCCGGCTACTATAAAAACAGTCAACACGCAACATTTTTTTCCTCATTCATAAAACACTGAAATCTGGGACATTTCCGGAGATAGCTTTAGCCGAGGACAGGTCGTCCAAAACGGGGGCTGTCCCCAGAAATCAGGGATGTCTGGTCACCCTTTAGCCAGTAAGTCTTTGGACACTTTAGGCTTTTAACTAGTACTTTTCTACTTTCAACTTTAATTAGATTTTTTTGTAATTTTACTTTTAGTTACTCTAACTAAATTTAGCTCGTAGTTAGCCTTTTACTACTTTAGCCTCTTACAAGTCTTTTTATACTTTGGCTTTTAACTAGCCTTTTGCTTATTTTAGCTTTTAGCTATCCTTTTTAACTTTAACTTCTATAGCAAGTCTTTTGACACCGTAAGTTTTTTAGCTAATTTAATGCTACGCTTACCTTTAGTTTATGTCTTTTTTTTTCAGTTATGTTTTTGCTACTTTTACCTGCTAGCCTTTTGCAACTGTTGGCGTCAACCTTGTTGGTCTGTTAGCAAAATTTTTCATGAACCACTGGATCAGTTTTAATCAAACTCTAAAATAAGTAGTTTTTGGATTCACGTCTACACCTGATAACCTTTTGAAGTCAACCCAGTTCAAGATGGCCACAGCTATTTAACTCCAGCTAACCTAAAAATGATTTGAGCTCAACTAAATACTGAAATGAATGGTAGTGGTTGAGCATCATCACAAACTTACATTCCAAGGGCTTTAACTGCATCTTTGCTTAGCTGTTAACATTAGCTCCCTCATGGTGGATATCTATCTGATGGATTTTATTCTCTCAAGGAAAGCCTTTATTTCTTAATTTTATTCTGACATGTCTCAGATTTAATTTGAAGCATTCTTTTTTAATTATTGTGAAAAGTAAATCATCTTTGGTCAAACTGATGTTTCAGCAAACCTGGAGGGCAGACGGGAAACCTCTGAGCTCAGGTGTTAAAGGTGGCCGGTTTAAAACTCAGCAAAAAACAGGTGCTGACGTCATGCTTTCTGACTGTGTTTAACGACAGGGATGAACGCGTCCTGTGGCGAGAGAGAAGGGCTGTCTGAGGCCTGCGCTCATTTTTAGATTTTTTTTGGGTGGGTGGGGGGTGGGGGGGTTTATATTGGGGTTCCCTGGGCGGCTCAGGGGGGGGGTGGGGTGGTGGTGGTGGGGGGGGGGGTACATGTGTGCGCAGTGCGTGATGGCGCTGCATATCCTATGGAGCTATCGAGGAAAAAAAAAACGCAGGAGAACCACAGCGCGTGTCGCCACACCCATCCACACCGAGCCGGACTCAGCTCCGGGAGCAGCGCGCGCGTTTTCAGTCCAGCGACATGACAGTTTGGAGAGGCTGCGGGATGAGTCACGCACCTCCGCCATCATCCATCAACCTCCCACCCCCTCCCCTTCCACATCCTCTATCCCAGATTTGCAGTAAACCCGCAGCTGCGCGCGCCAAACAGCGGACATGTCGGCGGCATGCGTTGGTTGTTGCGGTGATGATGGCGCACGTGGAGGCCCAGTTTATTTAAAGAGCAGTCAGTGCGCATGATACTGCGGCTCCACTACGCTACGGCACGCTCCAACTCACCTTGAATCGGCGCACGCGCTCCCCCCTCCCTCCGCCCCCGCTGTCACTCGGGCACAGTGAGGCTGAGAGGAGGAGGAGCTATATCAAAAGGCGGGGCTTTGTTCGCAGAGAACCAATCACGTGGCTCAAAGCGTCGACCAGCAGCCAATCAGCTGAGGGGAGAGGCGGACCTGTGGTTGCATTCTCACACTTGGTTTCACTCTGCGCTCGTAAAAAAAAAAAAAAAAAAAAAAAAAATCGGGCTCCGTCTACTACAAGCGCGCGGCGGCTGCAGGTGCTCTCTGTCTCTTCTGGAGAGAGGAGGATGCGGACGGACGGAAGGACGGGGGAGGGAGAGATTAAAAAAAAGAAAAAGAAGATAAGTGGGGGGTGGGGGTGCGGTGGGCGATGAAGGGAAACGCCGCGAGGAAGTGAGAGGCAGATATGAGAGACGAGGGGCTTTGAAGAGGAGTCCGCGAGGCGCAGAGGAAGGTCGAAGGATGAGAGAGTGGTCGGTCGGGGCACTTTGCGTGGTGAATAGCTGGTCGGCGACAGTACTATGATTTGGTATGTGGCCACTCTGATAGCAAGTGTTTTCAGCACCAGAGGAACGGCCGCTCAAGGTGAGTTGAAGTGCAATATATCATGTGTAATTTCTGCTTAGTGCTGCTTATAACCCCCCACCCCCTTCTGCGCCTCCTCCTCCCCCGCGCCGCGTCAGCGCGTGACATTTTCGCACGTTAGGTCATACTGAACTGTGCTAGAAGATGGGAGGGAGGGGTGGCAATTTCATCCCAAAATAATTAAAAAGAAAAATGGCCGCATATGTGATATGTCACGTGAAAGTTCAGCCCTGGGTATATCCAGAGCTGGTCCCTTAAAATGGCAGCAGAATTTCACACTGGTCCACCATGATAGATAAGTGTGAGAGGTGTGTGTGTCCCATTTGAGTTCTCCAGAGGGGTGTGACCGTCTCAGCCTCCCTCAAGATGGAAAAGTGGCTAAATATTGCATCATGTGTCAGCTGAAATGCACTCTTGGATGTGATGGAGCTCGCGCATGCACGAGACTGGGATGCAGGATTTCACACTCACATCCGTCTGATGGGATGGGGATGGAGGTCACAGCAGCATCCAAGCTCACAGCTCTCATCCCCCCCCCCCCCCCCGCCAAAAAACAGGGGGCCTGACAGAAATACTCATCCCTCCTACAAACTGCACAGTATCCATTTTGTTCATATTCCCCCCTCTTTTCTGATCACTCCCTATTGATCTGCTTAACCTTGCTTTTCCACTTGCGTCCAGATGAGGGAGACATGTGCCAGTCTGTCGCCTGGTAACTGATCCCAATGACCCCTCCACACATACCCAGTCAAAACTGGTCTGGCTCACAGGTCTGGCTCCTCCTGTGATGCCCGGCCAGAGCCAAGATAAGCACAAGGCAGAGATTTTAAAGCCAAATTTGTTGGGTCTTAGGAGCGGAGAACATCTCAAGGGATGATAACTTTCAAACGCGTTTCACTAACGACGTTACAGTGGTCCGGATGTACAGATTCAGAGGTGTTGTTTTGTGTTGCACTGCAGGGGATTTAATCCCTGCAAGCTATAATGGAACGTCACAAATCATATGCTGTATATTAGTCAGTACAACTAACATAATGGGTTTGTCTTAGAAATACGTGAGAGATTTTGGAATTTCTTGGAATAGTTGTGCAGTTTTTATGTTAAAATACTTAAAGGGTCTGGTCATTTATGAAGCAATGTTCAGTCCAGTAGTTATCAGTAGTTTGTACCTTCTTAGCTGGGAGTAAGGAATATGGAGAAAAGGGCTGAAGTCCCTTCAGGCTATGCTAATGGCTAGCCAAACCGGGGTCTGTTTCATGTTGTTTTTCAGGCATATAAAACAACTTTTTCTTAAATGTCATACTAGTGAGAAAGCATGCCACGTTAGCTAACACTATACACTTTTGCATGACACTGTTTGTTTTGGTCGTAGCTATTTTTTCAACTGAACCGAGTCCAGTGTCCATGACATTACTTGCATCTTGATCTTGTGGGGCTTTACCCAAAGGCTTTTTCACAAGACACCTCTGTCTGGGGCTTAACACCTTCTGGCTGCCTTGGTGTGACTTCTGAATGGGCTGAAGCAGCAAGAGGGGTTGAAGCCAGCCCATCCGTGGTGCTCTTTTCAGGCCACAAAGAGGTGTAGTAACAGAGGCAAAACAGCTGATGTGGAACAAATGTAAACTGGTGCTGCAGCTCAGAAATGCAGAGGTGATGCTAGGTATATGGTCTGTGACCGAAACAAGGCCACAATGAAGATCAAAGCCAACCCACCCTGGATGCTGTTTTGTACCACAAAGCAAGGACATTTCAGAGCCGAGTCATTCGACATGTAATAAAGCTGTTTTTTGTGGTTTGCGTGATGAAGTGATGAAATGGTCTGTGCGACCATCAGGTTGTAGGATTAAACAAGAACTAGATTTATTATCGAGGGAAGATTGATGACAGTTACTTTGTATTTAGTTAAAAAATAGTTAAACATAAAGAGGATCAACAAAGGGAGTGAATGTACCATGTTTTAAGAATTATACAAGGGAGACGTCCGTTACATATTCAGTGTGTTGCGCTCCAAGTCAGTCAAGCTCAGCTTGTCAAGCTAGCTAAGGTAGCATTCCTTCACACTGGTGTGATATATTTTTGAAAAGGAGTTGTTTTATTTGAGTAAAAAAACAATATGAAACATACCTCACTTGGCGCATACAGTAGTTCCTCGTTTATCACGGGGGATCCATACCCTGAAACCCTGCAATAAGTGAAAAACCGCAAAGTAGAAATAGTAGTACAAGTAGTAAGCAGTAGTTTATTTTAGTGTTTATTTATATAAAGGTGTTTTAAAGCCTTCCCACACTCTTGCAATATTCTAAACAATGTTTCTAAACTTTAAACATGCTAAAAGAGCACAGCATGTCATGATTTCAGCTCTCTGCCTCCTGCTGCACTCTGCCATCTGCAGCGCTCTCAGCCACGCCCACTTCTCCGCTGCAGAGCGGAGATATGACACGCTGCAGGAGGAAGCTTCTCCCGCAGCTGTGGGCTGCACACAGATGCAGCATGTGCTAAATAATTAAAAATTATTTATTTTAAATAAAAATTCCATGCCGATCGTGCGGCTCGTCCGTCAATCAGCCAGTTGTGTGTCATGTCCAATCTTATTTTGAAAAAATGCGATAGTGCGCGTCTGCGAAAAACAAACCGCTAAGTAGTGAGGGATTACTGTAGACAAAACATCACTTAAGAGAGCACCAAACTATTATTTTTAAAGTGTGAGAAAAAGGATAAAAAATGTGTGAAGGAGAAATGTATATAAAATACAGCTAAAGGTTATTAGCATGAGGTTTAATCGTCTGGGTAAAATGTTAGCTCCAGTGCCATACAAGCATTTTAATGCATATTTACGTGCAGCTAATTAGCTAAGCTAACAATCCGTTCACTTTATCTTTACATTAATACATGCCGTTGATATGGATTAGTTTAGCCATCTTTTGCTAAACGAATGAGCATGAAGCTATAAGACCTTGTAATGGCAGCCATGTTTTTACTTGACCTGACAGGTTTTCTTGCTGCCAGAAGTTTTTTGTTTTTTACTTAATTCTACTTTACATTTTGGAAATGAATGAAGTTACAATATTTATTATTGTTTGTCCGTGTGGTTCAGTCTTGTTCTTTAAATATGAGGGTACTTACTGAGGGTCAGATGTTCTTGCTTCAAAACAAAGAGAAGAGCAGTTGGATCAGAGCAGCTAAGCTGGGCTGGAACTTGGCTCCTTTCTCTGGAGTGGGATTTTGCAGCCTGTGCACTTTGCGCCATGTCAGGCATAAACAACAGGTCAGGAAATCTACAAATAGACCTTCTTCTTCTAGAACGTAGCATTTGAACGATGGACAACATTTCCAAAAACTTCTGATTATTTTTTTTGTGATATTTTCACACAATTTAACCATTTTATTGCACAAAGGAGATATATTTTCTTAACAAAAATCAAGGGTAGGTTTTAATAAACCAAACCAGATTAAACGGCAACAAGAAGATGTAAAACAAACTCGCAACATAAGGAGTGCCCGTGTCTACAATATATTCAATCATTCTTATGTAAAAGTGGCGTCATCTGCAAACATGTTTAGTTTGAAACAGAGGTGCTTACAACCCTTAGTGGAACTGGGACTGAAAAGATATATGAGCATGTTTTGTCATAAAGTTGCATTCAGTTATCAAAATAAATTCACTCATTTTGTAGTCATTGCATATTGGTTACGTTTAGGCGTATTCCAAGCTGCAAATGTTTGCTCTTTCTGTTATGTTTAATGGACTTTTAAAGAATAAAAGCACATGCAGATCAATAAATTAAACCCAACAAAATCATTCCAAAATGACTCATCCAGATATTAAAGCCAACAACACTGAGTTGTGGCTGGTTCATTTGAAAGAATTGTAATATAGTATTTTAACTGGGATGTAAACATCAGGGTGTCTACATTTTCAGAAGGGAAGTCGTGTTCAGAATCAACGTGATGACTGGCTCAGACTATAACTATAATCCGTTGCAGATTATTGTACTATTATCAATAGGGGAGGCTGTGGATGAGTGGTTAGAGCAGTTGTCTTCCAATGCAAGAGTTGGGGGTTTGATTCCACCAGCACTCACATGCCAAAGTGTCCCTGGACAAGACACTGAACCCCATGTGATAAAGCACTGATTATTCTTTGTAGAGATCTAGTAGAGTGCTGTATGAATGGGTAAATGAGGACACAGGTTATATTGTAAAGAGCTTTAAGTGTCTTGATCAGATAAAAAGGTGATATATAAGTACAGTCCATTTACCATTTATCGGTTCTGCTGGGCACATCCCAACCGGCTAAAGGAATTCTATAACTGTCTGTTCAAGACGGGCTCTTCTGTGCACGTTGGTGACTTTTTGATTAAAGTATGGGGGCATTGATGTGTCAAAGTTGATCCGTCTGCAGGGGTGATTTTCAGACCTGATTCAGGACAGAGTGGTGGATTACAGTCTCAAGAGCGTTGTTGTCATCCAGATGACTGCTAACCTGCTTCCATTTGAACATTATGAATTAAAGTGTAATACTAAATGTTTTTCTTTATTTTTATTGTCTTTATAGCCCGACAGGTTATGAGACAAAGGCTTTCAGTATTTTTCTAAAACAGTTCCATTTTATGCAACTTTTTATTATCCTGATGCATGCTCAATAATCCAGGTAGAAAAATCCAAAAAAGTTAAATCTGGTCCTCAACAAAAAAAAATGTAGAAACGTTTCGTCTTTCATCCGAAAGACTGCCTCAGTCAGCTTCACTCAGCAACTTTTTATTGTTAGTCACCAAAAAAGCAATGGAAGATAATGCTTTTGTCTGCCTATTAGTGAATTAGTGTGCCTGTTAGCAAAATATCTCAGGGACCACTTGATAGATGTTAATGAAACTTTTGGTAAATGGTCATTTGATATATCCTGATGCATGCTCAGTAATCTAGGTTAAAAAAATATATCTAAAACGTTAAGTCAGGTCTTCTGGACAGATTCTTCTTGGTGAAACGTTTTGTCTTTTATC